CTTTCCAAAAAAGGACACTTAGAAACTCCAAAAGGGCACCAAAGAACCAAATGATATAAGGAGCCCATATAAGCACATATGAAAGAAAAATAAAATGCAAAAAAATATATATATCTGAATTGTATAGTATGTGTACAGTGCAACAGCAAATAGCTTTTTTACATTTTAGAGAAGTCAAGTTGCGATACCAAACAGGACCATATGGTGATGCCAAAATACCACTAAACCAACCGCCTGCTGACTGCATATATCTACTACAGTACACGGATCCATTCAGAATAACGAAACAGCAACATACACATAACAAATCAAAACATTATCGTGAATGTGTGTGGAAACAACGTGAATGTACGGAAATGCCTGTGCATAAATACAATGTGCGGTCAGTGCGTCAAGAGCACTCATACACGCATTATTATAACGGACACACGCGTGCTTACTGTACGACTCCTGTACGCCACGGCAAAAATTATTTTAACGCGTTAAGGATTGTAAAATTAATCGCATGCGTTGACGCGTTAACGTTGAAAGCCCTAATATATATACAAATATATATATATGTTTGTAAAATGGCACAGCTTTTTAAATATCTGAAAGTACATTTAACATCAGTCAATCAAGCATTATAATATGATATTATGATAATTAAGCATTATATGATGAGAACTTTAGTAATTAGAATGCATATTTGTGTTTTAACTGAACTTAGGACTGGTGGTGATGCTTAAGATATTGTTTGTCATTTAGTGTTTCTGTAAAAAAAGGGGAAAAAACTATAATAAAACAAATAATACTACTACGAATTCTACTACTAATAACAGTATAAGGGCCTGTTTACACCTGGTCATTTCATGTGTTTTCGCTGATTCTATCTGATCTATCTGATTTGTTAAAACGTTTCCATTTACCCTTGGCCACATAAATGTGTTGTTGCAAAACGGATATAAATCCGATCTTCAATTCCCGCGCTATATTTAAATTGAACGGCGTTCACGTCAACAAAATCAAAAGATAAGTGCTGCATTTTATTAATTATCAGCTCATTTCAAGATCAAAGCCCGCAATAGGAGAGCGCGCGGCATCAGCACTGGAAAGATAAGTTTGTCTTACTACTTTAATGAAGATGATTGTGTGTTGAGCGTCTGCGTCTTACTTTCAGTTTCATTCGCGGCAGTTTGCGCGTCGCTGAAGAGATGCTCAGCTGCTGATGCTCACGCATCAATGCGTGTTGCATTAGCGCAGTCATATCTGACTATAATGTCATATCGCCTATAACACGCTCTCACACGTTTATTATTTTAACGTTTTGGGAGGAGTAAAATTTGCATATGTGGTTTCAACAATCAGATGCATTTACACTTGTCCAGTTTCATCTGGAATACCACCTCCTGAAGTGGTTTGAGCGATTTATATCCGTCTCGAATGTGTTTCGGAGGGCATTTAGACCTGGTCTTTTCACGATCGGATAGCTATCCGATCAGACAAAACGAAATGAAGTGACCAGGCGTAAACAGGACCTAAAACACACTAAGGATTAACGAGCTGCTGGGTTCATGAATATTAATCAGGTTGTGTGCGTTCGCTTGAATTGATTTACTAAAATCAAAACAAGGACGATAATAGGTGAGCACCAGCCAATGAGATTGCCGTTTGCGTATTAGTTCCACCCACTACCGGAAAACCCAGCTGTTCTTAAAAGCTGAAGAATTCCAAAGCAACTCTGTTATTTTGACAGGAAAATACAACAAAGAATATAATTTCCATGTAGCGTGTCTCTCTCTCTCTCTCGCTCTTGCTTTGCGTGTGTGTGAGACAAAGCGATGGCGAGTCATGCGCCTTCACACTAGAGATTACGGTATGTCAAATTAAATACAGGTGCATCCATTGAGATGAACTGAAAAATAGCACAGATCGCTTGATGGAGAGAGAAAGTTCGAAGCGCTCAGTCAGAGAGTGTTCGGCGAGTTAAAATATATCCGTGCTATACTTATACTCCAACTCACACACTGGCGAGTAAAATCTAAGAATTTATTAGCCATTGGCTAATATTAGACATCATTTAGATGTCTCAGAGTGAAGATTTAGGCGCATATGCAAGTGATTTACTCGCACTGTAGAGGGTTGCATAAGGCTGTACCCTCTTGTCTGTATATGCATTAGGTGACATTCACAGACTGTTGTAGAAATGAATGCTGCTTGTGTTCTGCTAATGGTTTACTTTGTTCTTCCAAATACGCATTACGTTATTTGTCCTTACCTTTTGATACTTTTCATCTAAATTAAAAAGTTTAATTTGTGTGTTTCATAGAAGTGTTTATTAAAATGATTTGTGCACTGAACAATGTATGTAGTGTTTAATTTGTTGTTGGGGCCATACTTCTCCCATTTCTAATCATTTCAATACAAAAAGTATTTTTCTCCTTAGCTTCAGTCATGGCCACAAGGTGGTGTCATGTGTCTATTTTTTGTGCTGATGGTTTCTCTGTTAAACTAACCTGGGCTGTGTTTCCCAAAAGCATCATAAGCTTAAGTACTTCGTAGACCCATTGAAACCAATGGAGCTACGATCAACTTAGGCTTTCAGTGCTTTTGGCAAACGCAGCCCTGAGCTTTTGAGAGCAGTTTTTTGGGTTGTTTTATACGAGAATGTTTGGGGTTTTGAAAAAAAATTAAGACTAGAAGTTTGATTCTTTAACTTTTTTAATTCATTGGTTTTTGAGGAAAAATATATGAAATCGTTTTAAATGTGTTAAACCAACTAAATGTTTAATGAACAAGGGATGGGGGGATTGTTTTCCAATTGCTGTTATTGTGTAAAATTATATTGATCAGGTTAGTTTTCTAAACTGATTTCTCTTTCTTCAGGCCTGTGGAACCTGGTGTCCCTTTTTTCAAATCTCTGTCTCTTTGTGCTGATGCCTTTTGCCTACTTCTTCCTGGAGTCCGAGGGCTTCGCCGGTTCGAAAAAGGTATGTGGTTATGTGTGTTTGTGTGTTTTCTGCAAGCTTGAGGCTTTGTCATATTATGTATAGGACACACACATAAGATGCTAAAGGCATTTTTACACATTTGTACAAACCAGGTATGTGCACTTACTCACCCTCGCTTGGCCAAACACACACACACGCGGTTTTATGTGTGACCCTTTTGATTTCAGCCACTCCCCCACCCTAAAAAGATAAAAGTTCAAAAGCAGAGCTCTCTTAATTCTACAGCTCATTCAAGCTTATGTCATTAGTCACTCAAACAAGGGGTGTCACCAGTGCTCATAGAGACCGTAAAGCAGCAAACACAAGGCGTCACAATAGAGCGTGCAGATGAAAATGAAAGGGTGGGAGGGAATGCATCAAGTTGCCCTCCGTCTTACTCTCATCACAGTTTGAAGTCGCTCCTGGTTTATGTCCCTTCTGGCAAAGCTACATAAAGATTAGTTGCTACTGTAGTTTATGAGGGCTGCACTCATTTGTACGGGAGCGAGCCGTACTGCTTCGTTTTGTCTCGTTTGCACCATGACTGTTTCTGGCCATTGATCAACCAGAAACACAGGAGAGAGGGAAGCACTGCTTTATGTTGGCCTACACGTCTCAGAATGACCGGCGTAACGTATGTGTGTGTGCGTGCGTGCGTGTGTAGCGAAAGAGAGGAAACGATCAGAAACTGCCGCTTGTATGAAAGCCCCCTGCTGATACAGGGAAGGGTTAAGTCGTCAACCGTAGAAGCCCATAAAAGCAAGATTTCATGTTTTCTTTTTAAGTATAAAGTCAAATGGCCTGCTTGTGCCAGTCTCCATGTTAGATGGTTAAATGTGGACATATATATGGCAAATTACATTCAGTAACTGGAGGAAATGAAACTGGGTAGTTTGTTAAAAGCTTGTGAGAGCTGTAGCTGGTGCGTTTTATGGGCCAGTGTTTGCATTAGTACTTCATCAAATGTAATAAACAAAACCAAAACTCTGTGGGGAAGGAAAGTGTGTGACTGCTTCAGAGAAAGAGAAAGACTGCTTTCTCTCCCTCTTTCTCGCTCTCTTTAGAATTAATTAGAATAATTAAGTTTCTTATTCTCACCAAGGCTGCATTTATTTGACCAAGAATACAGTAAAACATCAATATTGTGAAATTTTTACAATAAAAAAAACTGTTCTTTGTTTGAGAATATTTTAACATATTCATGTGATGGCAAAGCTGAAAATTCAGCAACATTACTCCAGTCTTCAGTGTCACATGATCCTTCAGAAATCATTCTAATATGCTGATTTGGTGCTCATGAAATATTTATCATTATCAGTGTTGAAAACAGATGTGCTGCTTAATAGTTTTGTGTAAACCATGATACAGTACCATTTAAAAGTTTGAAGTTAAGTAAAATAAGTAAAAAAAAGGGCAAGAAATAGCACTTTCATTCAACAGAGATGCATTAAATGTATCAAAAGTGTTAGTAAAGATATTTGCAATGTTACTTTTTTAATAAAAATTTATTTATTTAATTTGATTTTAAATAAATGCGGTTCTTTTTAACTTTCTATTAATTAAAGAATCCTGAAAAAAATGTATCGCAGTTTCCACAAAAATATGAAGCACTTTTCAACTACTGAACTGGATGCTTTAGTTTTTTTTCAACGTTGATAATAAAGCATATCAAATTACAAAATAGCATATTAGAATGATTTCTGATGTATCATGTAATCATGTGAAGGACCTGAAGTGTGAAAATTTTGCTTTGCCATCACAGGAATACATTTTATTTTAAAATGTTTTAAAATGGAAAACTTTTTTTATTGTAAAAATATTTCACAACATTACTGTTTTTACTGTATTTTTGATCAAATAAATGCAGGCTTGGTGAGCATAAGAGACATTTCTTTAACATTAAAGATCTTCTTTATCTTATTTAGATTACTCTTTGAACCTTTGAATGTACACACAAAGCTTGTAAGGGTGCTCCAGATAGACAGATGTGTGTAGCCTGGACCTGTAGTTCTGATTTTGTCCAACAGATGGCAAGATTATGATTTCACTAAGAAAAGAGCCTGATGCCCCAGTCAGTGTAACATTAAAAAAAAATCCAGTGAGAAGATCCTTATGGCCTCCTAATTCTCTACGATGCACATGGAGATAGCACTACTAAAATCTATTGGTTATTATCACAATGCAAATGGACATCAACTAACTGATTCCTTAGGAATGACATTAACCTTGAACATGCTAAAAATGATCTTTCTCTCTCTGTGTGTGTGTGTGTGTGTGTGTGTGTGTGTGTGTGTGTGTGTGTGTGTGTGTGTGTGTGTTTGACAGTTTCTTCCTTTGTAGTCTGCCCACAATAGGGCTGATATTTATTTTTGAGATGTGATTCTGGCTCCCAGGCTTTGCTTGCTAAGGCCGTGACACTGCGTATTTACTTTGCCTGCGCCCCATTCTATACCCGTTTCTATGACAACATATGAGTTTCTGTATTTTGACGGGAAAAGGCGCAACACTGGATTGGATAATAGCCTCCATAGTCAAGCCTTAGAAAGCGTGAATGTTTGTATGTATTGAGATGTGTCTTGTGAGGTTAACTTGAATGCAAATGAATGTGTGTGCACCGTTCACTACCATCAGCACTGCGACATACTAGAGGGACTTATTAGTTTGACTATTGCACTGGATGTGTTTTAGTACTTTTAAAAATTATTGCCTGTTTGCTTTTCTATTTCTTTTGGAATCATCTCTTCTTTTTATCACTCTTTTAAACATTTTCTTGACTTTTAACATCCTGCTGTTTGTGTTCTTGACAAACCCCAGATTAGTTCAGAAGCTGTTCTCAAAGGTCTTATTTGTTAGACACCTCATGCTAACAAGAAAAAGATGGTGACACTGTAGGAAGAGGGATAAAAAGAAAATGAAACACACCCACAAACTTCAAAAGTACTGAAGTGCCTTCCTTAAGTCATATATCCTGTTTTCTCGTCATTTTGACGGGCTTCTAACGTATTAGTCAGAATGGCACATCAATGGCTTGTGTGTGTTGATACACAGTGATTCATGTCCCCTGTGTGTTCTGCGCTCTGTTTTGTGTCTCTGACACTGCTTTCAGTGTAGCAGGCTTAAAAAGAAGGTAATGACTACTGTTCATGCTAAGCCTTTATTGATGAGAGTCAGTTCATAGAGAGGAAATCATAGTGGACAAGGGAAATACACTGCATGTTTGTGAACTTTTCTGTTCTGTTTCTGTTGTGTACAAGATCAGAGATTCGAATTTTGTTCAAACTCTTCCTGCAGTCAAACTCTTTGGGAAAATCTCTCTTTCTTTTCATTCTTCAGTCTGACATGCACTAAATATTAATAACATTTAAAATGTGTCTTTATTATATTTTATTTTTGCTTGTTACGCAGACATTGATTTGGAGCATGAGAGAGCAGTTTGTGACCCTGACGCTGACTGAGGGTGTGTAAGGTCAGGGAGAGCCCTCTTAGAGTGAATCAGACTAATAAAACATGCATAAATGCAAACACTCGCTTTTCCATCTAGCCTATATCTCTCCCCTTGTCTCCCTCAGACATACATACATTTCTTGGAAGTCAACATGATATTAGCAGCTGTCCGATTAGAGTATACTGCAGTGTGTGTGTATGTGAAAGAGTGAGAGCGAGAGTGTGTGTGTGTGTGTGTGTGTGTGTGTGTGAGAATGGACTAGATGCTGAATATTTTAGAGTTACTATATTAAGCAGTGCTCGCATTTAGATGGGCAAGAGAAGAAGAGCTCAAACCATCTATGGCTTTTCTGCCACGTCTCTCTCTCTGTCTTGGCTATACATCTCTCTGTTCTCGGCTGTATTTGTTTTCTTGCTTCCAAATACATTGAGAGGTCTGTACTTGTGCCTTGTGACAACTTTGCATTTTTTGTTGTTGTTTTTGCAGATTTTCAGTGTTATTTATGGACACAGATTCTTTAAATGCGCTAATTCACAATCTAAATATCAAAGGTTCAAAGTCCATTGAGGGCAGATTGATATGAGGCAGATGTTGTTCATCAGGAAGTCACCTGGAGGTGCTCTAGATTCTCTTAATATCAAGAAGAGCTATTAAATACTGCACATATACAAAGTCCCTAATGGATTGAGACAGACGTGTTTAAAGGAATCAGGTAATGTAGACGCTTGAAAATGTGTGAAAGGGACAGGTGAAGGGAAATCATCTTCATGGTCAGATGTGTATTTTTTGGATTATTGCTTATAAATGCTTGTAGATCAGTTTGTCACTTGTATCTACTGTCATTGTGAGTGATGGATGTGTACACTGCCGTTCAAATGTATGAGATTGGTAAGGTTTTTTGAAAGAAGTAGTCTCTTATGTTCACCAAAGCTGCTTTTATATGCTCAAAATACGAGAAAATATTACTGTAATGTATTGGTATAATTTATTTATTTTTTTCTATTTTTATGTATTTTAAATGTCATTTGAAGCTGAATTTTCAGCAGCCATTACTCAAAGTGTCACATGATCCTTCAGAAATCATTCTAATATGCTGATTTGCTGTGATTTTCTTATTATTAAAACAAGTTGTGTTGCTTCCTAATTTCATGGAAACCATGATACATTTAATGCATCATTGCTGAATAATTTCTTTCCAAAAAAAACCCCTTACTGACACCAGACTTTGGAACTGTGTGTGTTTGTGTGTTTTCTGCCCAGTGAAAGAGCAGACTCATCTTATCACAGTGTTGCAGTTTCCAAACACTTGCAGTCACCAACATCAATATGTAGGTTGGGGAGGGACACAAGTAAATCAGGAGTGGAGTTAAATGCCACACATAAGGCACTTACTGAACCAGAAAAAAAACTCCTAATAGTTTCCAGATGAGCCTCTGGAGTTAATCTCAGACAGTAGCAGCCACCTTTTTCATTTTAGCCGCAAACTCCGACCGGACATGGTAATAACTGTTCATATAATTGTGTGTGTGTCAGTGAATGAGAGAGAGGAAGGTCATTAGTTTCTTTGTGCATCTGGTGACCTATTGTGTGTGCGTTTTGTATTGGGAAGGGGGCTTGGCATTGAGTCAGTGTTATAGGGAAGTCCCGGGGCTTCCAGAGTTAAATTTCCAATTAGAGCCTCATTTACACCTGCTGATCTGTGTGTGTGTGTTTCTGAATCACTCTTGGCTACAGCCGTAAGTAAACCTGAAAACATTAAAGCGGGTGTTTGTTGGTTTCAGGGCATAAAGGCTCGAGTGCTGGAGACATTTGTCATGCTCTTTCTGCTGGGTCTCCTCATCCTGGGCATTGTATGGGTTGCGTCCGCTCTCATCAACAATGATGCCGCCAGCATGGAATCGCTCTACGGTTTGTCTCTTAACTCTCCTCCTGCAGTTGTGGATGTATGCATGTGATGTAATCCGTTATGTATTGATCTGTGGTTTATTGTGCCTGTCACGTTCTCTTGTTCTAGATTTATGGGAGTTTTATCTGCCATACCTCTACTCCTGCATCTCTCTGATGGGAGGCCTGTTGCTGCTTAGTAAGTTCACATGAAACCGTGCTGTCAGTGGACTCTATGCACGATCACTTTTGTATTTAGCTCTCAGTGGATGCTGTAACTTTCAATGCAGTGAAGAGTATGAAAATTGTGAGGAAAATTAAGCACTGTCTTATGAAGACCTTGAAGTTGGATGGTTTTTAAGCATATTGGAGGGCAAGTGTTGCAGTTTGGCTGTTTTGAGTCGAACCTCCTGGTTGAGCATCAGCCTTTTATTTTCATCTGTTTAGAGCTCTGGTCTCAAACGCAATTCCTGGAGGGCCACAGCTCTGCACAGTTTAGCTCCAACCCTAATCAAACACACCTGATCCAGCTAATCAAGGTCTTCAGGATCACTAGAAACTTCTAAGCAGGTGTGATTTGGAGCTGGTTGGAGCTCAACTCTGCAGAGCTGTGGCCCTCCAGGAATTGAGTTTGAGACCACTGGTTTAGAGGAAATTAAGAACAAATTAAATCTCGACAAAGTGTCCCATAGCAGGACAGTTTTCTTGATACAATCCACTTTGACAATAAATGTACTCATTACTAAATTACTCCTCCTTCTTTCCGTGACTACGAACGTTGTTACAATGTTCATATGTAATATACCAAAATATTATGTTTACTACCCAGCAGGCACACAACGTCATAAGATGTTGATATTTGGTTAAATTTCAGCTGCGACGTCGAGTGACAAATTTAATGTCAATTCAACGCCCAGCAGGCACACAATGCCATAAGACATTGATATTTGGTTAAATTTAGGTTGCGAGGTCGGTGACCAAAATTCAATGTCAATTCAACGTCTAATGTCAATGTTAATTTGATGTCCAATACTGACGTCAGCTGATGTTGATATTTGTTTTTTTTATTGGTTGTGTAACCAAAATCCAACGTTAAGTCAACGCCAAATTGGCGTCAAATACTGACGTCAACACGATTTTCATTCTCAAACAAAATGTAATCGTCTTTCCGACGTTATATTGACGATCTGTGCCTGCTGGTTAATATAGTCAAGTCAAGTCAAGTCACCTTTATTTATATAGCGCTTTTAACAATACAGATTGTGTCAAAGCAACTGAACAGCATTAATTAGGAAAATAGTGTGTCAATATTGCAAAATGACAATAGTAAACACAAATTTTTCAAAGACAGTTCATCATTTAATTCAGTGATGTCAACATCCAGCTCAGTTTAAATAGTATCTTTGCAATAATATAGTATAATGTAATATTATGTAATATCATTTGTTGACCAGCAGTTATTAAAAAATGACTGAAAAAGTACTACCACAGTTTGCTGTGGCATAGTAATATACTGGAAGATATTTTAGTGGAAATAGTAAGACAGTCAGCGTGGATGGAGTGCTTTAGGGCTGGGAAATATTTTGAATATTTATGATGTTCACAATAATTTTGCTGGCAATATAAAATTCAGAAAAACTGTGAACAAGGCAGTTATGCCTATGCAATTATTCCTATGTATTGTTGTATTGGTGCATTGGGGCAGTCGTGGCCTAATGGATAGAGAGTCGGACTGGTAACCCGAAAGTCGCGGGTTCGAGTCTCAGGTCTGGCAGCAATTGTCGGTGGGGGATTGAATGACCAGCGCTCTCTCCACCTTCAATGCTACGACTGAGGTGAGACCCTTGAGCAAGGCACCGAAACCCCATCTGCTCCCCGGGCGCCGCAGCATTGGCTGCCCACTGCTCCGGGTGTGTGTTCACTACTGTGTGTGTGCACTTGGATGGGTTAAATGCAGAGCACAAATTCCGAGTATGAGTCACCATACTTGGCCACATGTCACTTTCACTTTCATACAATTACATTCCAGAGCAAACAGATACATATTAAGATGTGTTATTTAGACTTGTTTCAGCCACTGTTACAGTAGTTAGATAAATTTGAACTAGTTCAAAGGTTGCATTCATACTTTTGCTTTAGAAAAGCATAAATTAACATGTGTGTGTTTAAAGCAGCTTCTTGTCTCTTCTCATCAGTGTGTACTCCAGTAGGACTGTCACGCATGTTCACAGTGATGGGCCAATTACTAGTCAAACCCACAGTAAGTACTATTACACCGTATGCATTTGTTAAACATCCACTCTCATTCTCCCTCACACTCTGTTCCTCTCTTTCGCTGTCTGTAAAGATTTTAGAGGATCTGGATGAGCAGATTTATTGTATACAGCTGCAGGAAGAGGCCTTGGAGCGTAGGCTCAATGGTGAGTGTTTTTGATTTTATATGATGGGCAAATGCATGGTTTATTGCATATTTGTATTATTTTCTGTATTACCTGAATAGCAGCGGATTATTTGCATCTGTAAATTCTAGCATTTGTTCTGCTGCCAAAGTTTTGGTGATGTTGCAAGAAATGTAGCGTATTAAGTTGGTTTTAGTTGGGTGTTTTCTTACATTTTTGACAAAGCATTAATTCATCACAGTAATAAATGGTAGTGTACAAATAATGTTGTATTTGATTTATTTTTAGTAAAAAAAAAAAAGAAGAGGAATCTAATAGATTTATGTCCCTGTTGAACCACCCTCCCATGTTTTCTCACTTTCTTTAACTCTCTCCCTTAACCCCCCTGTATCTGAGAAATAATACCCATATGCTCCAGTGTTTCCTAATCCTACAGGATTTTGTTTGATTTAAATCAGATAAGTAAGTGGTGAAACATCATTAAAAATATACTATGAAGTTTTCTCATACTCGTACGTCTTCTTTTAGCTGACTTTTATTCCCATACACAAACATCCACACAATGCAGGAAGTGTTCATGTTTAAAGCCAAACTAGACTTTTGCATCAACTCATGCACGCAACAGAGTGTACAGATGCCAGTCAACATAGAACATGTGCTTTTCTATTGAATTCACGGAGGTAAGCTAGATCATCTTAACTGATAGTGCCCAGTTGCTCAAATCCCATGGATGAATTTCAATAGCCTCTCATTTGGTTGTTTGGTTCTGTAGTGTTAGCACCAAAGGCAGATTTGCTTTGAACACCTGATAAAATAATTGTAATCTGTTTTAACGATTTTCGCTTCTTTATGATTGCCGTTTGATGTGAGGCGCATTGGCAGTCACTGTGATCGGGTGACAAAAGGGTACTAGGGATGTGGAATGTGATTTTGGCAAAGCTCAAAAACTCTGCGTTACAGGAAGATCTCGCTCGGGCGTTAAGGAGAGAACGATTTTACCTTATCAGGAATTTAAGGAATTTTCATTCTTTTCTTCTTTCACCCCATAAATGCAAAACCTGAGGTGAAGTTGGGGGGAAAAGAGTTCAGGAGGAAACTGTCTACTTTGCTTTACTCTCTTATCTGTGTTCTATCTAATAACAATTATTCAACTGACTGTAACTTCATTTAGATCCTACATGCCTGCACACGCTCTCTTGCAGACCCTTGATATGGGCTAATTCATAAGTTTGTTAGTTATTACATTAATGCCCTAATCTGCATCTCTACTTTGTCTCATGTCATCAGTTGAGGCCATTAATACAGGTTAAAGTATTGAAGTATTAATCTGAATGCATTCATGTAGTTGCACGAATGTGAATGTGCGCATTAGAGCACGTTTTTCTGAACTGTGGCAGTCTTGCAACTGTGTGTTTAGGTGCATTTGTCTGAGTGTATGCTTTCATACCAGTCCGGGTGCAGGCATTTGTTTGTCCTCTGTCTTGGCTCTTGCTATGCTTCCCGAGGCTCTGCAAACCAATCCTCTGCTTTGAGGAGCAAATGAACCACTGAAACGGTGAAAAAAAAATATCAGCATGAAACAGATAAATAAGAGCTAAATGAGACAGAAGTCTGTGGTTTTCCTGGAGAACCCCTCTCTGTTTTTGCCCTCTCACTCTCACCTCCTGACACACACACACACACTTAGTGTTCAGAAGAAACCTCAGTCCCCTCTTCCGTCAGAACCAGTCACAGCATGCACACGTCTGGCCTAGACTCTGCAGTTAGAGTATACAACTACTAGTGTTGGGGGTAATGCATTCCCAAAGTATACTTCAGTTCTGATGGAAAACCTTAGTGTATGCTTGCAGCCAAATGCTTAGCATTGTCCATTTGATCCACACTCACAATCAATGCGCTGCACATGTACAGTACATGCCTACTGTGCAGTTGACGAAATTTATGTCATGCACAATTCAATTAAATTTAAACTTTTTCCAAGTAACTGTTTTTTTTTTACCATGATATTTGAATTTCAAATATGTAACAAACTTTTTTTTTTTTTTTTTAATTACACAAATGCCACCAGAAGCCTCTCCTTTCCCTCTTTGTCTTGAGACTCCATCCTGACACTGTCAAGTTTCTTATGGCAAAAACATAAAAATAAGACATAAAGGTTTTAGGTCTTTGACCAGCATATCAGACATGCACCTTTCAAATGTGTTAACATTATTGTTCTCAGAGTATGAAGAACGTATATAAGCCATAAAAAAATAAATGACGAATGGCCAGTACACCTATTATTTTCATTATAAGCTATTTTTGATAGTAAAACTTTATTTTAAGGTGTCCTTGTTACACGTTACATGTACTTACTATTGTAATAACAATAAATTATGCATAATTACATACAAGTAACCCTAAGCCAAACCTTAATCCTAACCCTAACCATATAGTAAGTAATTGATATAATTAATATAACTCTGTACTTAAATGTATAATTACACTGTAACAAGGACACCTTCAAATAAAGTGTAACCTTTTTGACAATAAGAGGTAAAACTTAACAAAACGTATCAAACATGTTAATGATTTAATGTAATTAATCCTTAATTACATTATTAATTTTTAATTTATTGTTAGAATTTTTAGGTCCCACTTTATATTAGGTGGCCTTAACTACTATGTACTTACATAAAAATAAGTACAATGTACTTATTGTGTTCATATTGCATTGCAAAACACTTCTGCTTCTATTGAGGTGGGATACAGGTAAGGTTAGGGACAGGTTTGGTGGTATGGGTAGGCTTGAGGTGTAAGGAAAGGGTCAACAGTGTATTTATAAATGTAATTACAGAAATTAATTACAGATGTAGTTACATGCAGGTGTTTTTTAAAATAAAAATACAATGTATGTAAACAATAAGTGCATTGTATCAAATGATCAATTTAAATGAAAGGCCACCTAATATAAAGTGGGACTTTTTCTAATAACATATATTGCAATAATTCTATTTATTTTAAAGGACTAATGCAATAGTTTATTTTTCAAAACATTGTTTAACAGCACTGTTAACCACATATGACATTGCAGATGTGTGGTGCTCATGAGATTTTCTTAATTGTTGCAGATGTTGAAAGTGGGAGAATTAGCAAAGCAAAATAGAAGGTTTAATAGAATTGTTCAAATATACAATATGGCTGAACTGTGGTGATAAACCTCCTGCAGGGCACTGAACGCTCTCTCTCGCTTCTCAGGATGTTTAAGAAGTTAAACTGCTACCTCCACACTGTGAAAGCTGTTTTTTTTACTTTCAGTAAATGAATATATTTTTCTCTCTTGACAGATTTTCTGACAAATGGTGTGATTATATTAAGTAGGTACTTGAGTAACAGTGAAGATAACAAAGTTCAAACCACTGATTTATGTTCACATCCCTGCTGTTTTCTAGTGGTTTGATCTTTTTACAGAAGCTCTTAATAAGCCAAGGTAAACAAAATGATAGTATCTTTCTTTGTTTCAGCTCTTTGCTCTCTATCTGTCTTTTTCTAAAGCTCCAACTGTCTTTGTCTGTCACTCAGGTACGATGTCAAACTCTTATTTCCATGCAAACTCTCAGCACCATCTTTACAAAGAGCTGGACAACGTTCGCAATCAGAGGAACAAACTCGGTGAGAGATGTTTTTAACAACGTTTAATTAAACCAAATTAAACTCTGATTCTGTCAGCGCTGTCAGTTTCAAATATGTGTAGGCTGCAATATCCACTCCTCTTAATATTGTTGAATTGCATAGTGTGTGCATAATTGAACGTGAACAGTCATTTGGACTGAGGCCAAATAGGGTATGGCTGTATCATTTTCGACGTCAGCCTGTGTTTTGGGGTATTATAAATGATTCCGGAGAGACGAGCAGTTGGAAGGAGAGGAGGCCACAAAGGCACTTAGGATATTGGAGTGTGATGCAAACTTTATTGTGGCTGTCTCTCCAAGTGCGGTCATTAATTTAGAGGCAGCATGGTGCATATGCAGGGAACCCTGCCAACCTCAGAGCCAGAGCAGAATCAGAGCGCGAGATGTTGAGAAGGAGAGGGTAGAGGACAGAGAGGCACAGGAGTGACAGACACTGGCATCGAGAAAAGATGTTCTAGAATTACTTCATGGTTGTAGCAGGAGAATCCCTAATATTTGTCACTCTTCTGAACTATACTGAAACCTCTGAACTGTGCTCACACAGATGTGGATTTACTCGAGTTAACCCAGAAATAACTGGTAGCTGTTATTTCAACACACTAATAAAATACAAAGCAATGAATTTTCTACAGTAAAGCTGTAGTTCTTATTCACTACCGTTCAAGGTTTTGTAGATGTTTTTGAAAGAAGCCTCTTATGTTCACCAAGGCTGCATTTATTTGATCAAATTTACAGTAAAATTGTGAAATAATTTAAAATGACTGTTTTCTATTTTAAAATATTTTAAAATATTGTGATGGCAAAGCTGAATTTTCAGCATAATTATTAGCCTTCAGTGTCACATGATCCTTCAGAAATCATTCTAATATGCTGATTTGCTGCTCAAGAAGCATTTCTTATTATCAATATTATAAACCGTTGTGCTGCTTAATAACATTTTTTCTTTAAAATTCTCACTTTTTTTCCACATCACTTTTGATCAATTTAATGCTTAACTGCTAATTAAAAGTATGTTTCTATTCAAATTTTACTGACCCCAACCATTTAAACAGAAGTATGTGTTTGACACTTCACAGTAAGTTTTATTTGTTAACATTAGTTAATGCACTTGGTATCATAAACTGACAACGGACAATACTTTTACAGCATTTATTAATCTAGGTAAATGTTAATTTATACATGGACTACTACTTTTTTAAATTTTAAGCTAGTTTTATTTTATGTAATAATAATGCATTTAAGTCTGTTCATTGCTTGTTCATTAAACTTGTAAAATGTTACACTGATGTAAAGTGTCTTTATTTGATAGTTCTGCTAGTTGAAAGATAATCTGAAAATTGTCCTACATTAAATAGATATTTCACCTTTCTATAGTTAAGGCCCATTCACACCAAGAACGATAACTATAAAGATAACTATGACTGGAAAAAATTGTTCTGAAAGTGATTCCTACACAATATAATTTCTCAGTGCCTTTATCTTTATAGCTGTAGTGTGGACTCTGCTATTCTTTAATATTGAGAATGATTTTTAGAAATGTATCTTTATCGTTATCTTTATAGTTATTGTCCTTGGTGTGAACAGGCCTTTACTCTTTATCTTGGTGTGAAATAGTTTTTCTGAGGAATGGACTAATTAAAGGGATTGGGGATAATTTGCTCAACGTCAGTTCATGGTAAACATACGTACCGCTAGTCAGAAACTACAATGTGGTTTCTCTCACCCTCTGTCCTAGAAAGGAGAAAGAAGGCCTCAGCCTGGGAAAAGAACCTCCTTTACCCCATAGTGATGCTGATCCTGCTTGCTGGAACGGTATGTGTTTATTTAGCCTTGGCAGGGTTATCATAATGAACCACAAAGCATGTGATTTGATGCAGTTTTTTTTCATAAGTTGGTTTGATGTTTCTTTCTACTGTTTATAATGCTTATGTTTGTTTCCATCCGTGCTGCTTGCAGGCGATTTCTGTTCTCCTGGTTGCCCTGAACATTGTGTACTTGCTTGTCGATGAGACGGCTTTGCCAAAGGGTTCAACGGTAAGAAAAATGCAAGTCAACAAACCTGAAAATATAAACAAATACTCAGCTTTTCGTTCACTTGCTCCCTCTCTCGCTGTCCTGCAAAAAGCACGCTTTGCATCAGGGCACACTGAATTCCAGATATGCTCAGGTGTGTGCTGTAGAAGAAAAGGCAGGTTGAGATGTGTATCATGTCACTGCTGTTTGATGCTTTTTATCAGAGTTGCGCTCCCATTCTCTCTGCTTGATGTCAATTCAAAGGCACTCATGCACCGTATGTGTGAGAAACTCTGGACACAGACCTCATTCGTCTTAAATGGGTGTTTTAAGTCAAAGCTCTGTAATGAAACCATCATTGCGCAATTTTCGACTGTGTGAAGACAGTGTCGGTTTTCTCTTTGACAAGGAAATTACAAGCTGCAGCTGATTGAATATGGGACCAAGTCAGTTACATCATTTCCTGTTTAGTTTTTTTTAAGATGAACATTTTGTTCTCACTCTTTCTTTTCCTCCATAAAATGATGGTCTTATCTCACTCTACTTCACCACTCCCACCTGCTGTCCCTGCCCCATACATTGCTTCTTTGTCTTCCCACAACAAAGGAAATTCAACATATCCTTTTTCTGGCCACGGTTTGATAGTGTTGAGCTGCTCTATAAGAGTGCCTGCTGCCCATTCTAATTATTTTATTAGTGTCGATATTTGCCTTGGCATGACGCTTGACTGAAAATCCCCCAAATTACCCTTGTCACAGTTTTCAGAGACGAAGGGCCCTCTTGACAGGCTGGTTAATGGTTTATGCGTTTGATGAGCTGGACTGGTGCCATGCTTAAGATCTCATGTAACCACGACAACCCAGCAGCGGTGTCTGCACGTCTGTTTGATGGTTTTTACGTCGGCTTGGGATGTGGCGGGGGGAAGGCCAGCATTCCGCAACATTCTTAAGAGAGATTGATGCGAGTTAAGGTAACTAGGTTAACTCCAGACTGTCAGATAAGGAAGGGCATCGTAAATGTGGCTGTGAGGTAAGGAGATCTAATGCAATGGCACTGCTTGCATTAAGCTATCTGATGCACTGTTGCTAATGACTGCAATAAAAGTCTTATTGCTGTCACTCCCCATGGATTCAGAATTATTGTCGATGCTAAAAACAGCCTCATTAATGTCTGTTTCTCATCCGAACTCGTATCTCACGTGTCAATGCGGAGCAGAAAGAATGATGGAATGAGAAACGAGATGAGAGGGAAAGCGAGAGAGATCATATTTCTCTTTTTGACCTCTGAACCTTTGACAAGAGTCAACAGATATGACACATAACCTGTCAGTAAACATCTTTCTAAAAAAAAAAGGCCTGTCTAATCCATGATTAGTTTTTTGCTGCTTTTTTTCTGTTATTATCCTTCATCAGAGGTAGCTGAGGCACATCAAAACATGCAGTGTAGTTAGGACACACCTGAAGGAAGGTGTACACACAGATATCCTTAAACTCACTCAGTCACAGGTGTTAAGCAGCGCCAGCAAACACCTGACACAGCTCTGAGCAAAAAAAGGGGATTTGAGATACCTGTCCTCTTCAATAATATCAGTCGGTTTATGGCTACAAGTTAAATGACAGTCAAAGATGGATGTGTACATATGTATGTATGTGTGTGTGTGTATATATATATATATATATATATATATATATATATACTGTATAATTCTTGGGTTTTTATATTTGATCACATTAGCAGTTCTTTTCCCACTGCTACTACAAAGTCAGCTACTGGTGACACATTAGTATAGGCACCGATTCTCTCTATTAACTAGTTGCTTATTAGCATGCCTATTATTAACATATTGGCTGTTTATTAGTACTTATAAAGCATGACCATATTCTACATCCCTAATCCTACCCAATACCTTAAATTAACAACTACCTTACTATTAATAAACAGCAAATTAGGAGTTTATTGAGGCAAAAGTCATAGTTAATGGTTAGAGAATTATAATAAAGTGTGACCCAACTACTAGCTAGCTATTCACTTATGTAACAGTTTGAGTGTTTAATGATATTTTACGAGCAGGTGTTTAGTTGAGCTTCTCCGGTTTTTCAATCACATGTAAACTTTCTTCAGGCCTGTCATCAATAACAGCAAGCAAGACTGACATTATAAAATCTGGTTCAGATTCGATCTAATCCGGTTAGAAAGATCATCATAAATATTTGTATATGCTCTGTTGATTTTGAATTGGTCTGCTGTCAAATACACATTAGAATGAGAGCGGTGATTGATTCTTATTTTATTTTTTTTGCTTGTCAAGCCCAGACTAAAGTTGTTTTACATTGATAAATTATGTCAAATAAATGTTGGCTTTTATTGTAATAATTCCAATCCAAACCTTCAGATCACGTCAATGACTTCAAAAGATATTAAAGGCCTGAGATTGAAAAACTTTGTTTGCCAGCGCATTTGTTTTGGTTTCTTTTTTTCCACATTTTTCTCTTAATTTTTGGCAGCCATTCATGCTATGCAGCCTCTTACTGTAAGAGCACCATTGCCTTTTTTTCTTCTTCTTTTTTGTTTGAACACCTGCTCACATATTATGCGTGTGTGAGCGGCGGTGAATTTAAAAAGATTTCTTTCATCTGCTTCCATTCATTACTTCGCCAATTTCACTCTGTCTGTCCTCATTGGTGAGAAGGGAAACTTCACTAATCTGAGCTTTATATGTTTTATTTCTTCATAATAGCATTCACTCAGAACAGCTCCAAATATTTCTGCCGCTTTTTTCTGCTCTCACTGCCTGAAGCACTGAGGTGTCAACACTGTAGTCTTATTTAGATTACACCGCTTCGGTTGTAACAGGAGCCTGTGCATTAGGCACGTCGCTAAAACACGTCCACTACATGCAGTTACTCCACTCAGTCCAGAACCTCAAACGGTGCCTTTGAGAGACATACGAAAAATGTTCATATTCTGAAAGCAAATTTTATGTGGAGGAAAAAAAAATCAGTTTATGAAAATAACTACTGACCGTAACTTTCACTCTTTGTTTCTGCACAGTCTTCAGTGTCCCATGATCCTTCAGAAATCATTCTAATATGCTGATTTATTATCAGTGTTAAAACTGTTGTGCTGCTTAATATTTTCTGGAACCTGTGATACTTTTTTCTTTCAAGGAATAAAAAGTTAAAAAGAAACAGCATTTATTCAAAATAGAAATGTTTTGTAACAATATAAGTCTTTGCTATCACTTTTTATCCATTTAACACATCCTTGCTGAATAAAAGTATTAATTTAAAGGTGACATATCATGAAAATCTGACTTTTCCAGGTTTTAAGTGCTATAATCAGGTATATCCGGTGCATCTACCAACCAAGGAAACGTGAAAATGGTTAACCCAGTAACTTTGTTTTGGGAAGCCTTTTTCTGCAAGCGTCTGAGAAAAGGAGCGCGTCTGATTTCGCTCCCTTGGTGACGTGGCAAAGGGATCTCATTATAATATGCCCCTTACTCTGTCAGTTTCCACC